GTTTTTTCTAAAAGTTCCAAAAAAGAAAAAGAAAACATGAACTGAAATGTGTTTTAAAATGAAGTATGAAGTTATTCAAATGCCCCAAAACAGTGCATTTGATCAACCAGAATATTGTGCGTCCTCAAAAAGTTGAAAATATTGTTTTAAGGTAACAGACTATCATAGGTATAGTACTACACACAACTGTCGTAAGCTGACAAAATGCCTTTTATTTTTATTTTTAAAAGCAAATGTTTTCATTTGCTAAATCGAAAGCCTGATCAGAAACTCTACTTGTGTACAAAACAAAAGTAAAGTAAAACTGTAACTTGCTTTTGAATAAATTAGAATCCAAATTTCGGAACCACGTCTTTTGTAAGTGAGTACGCTGACTAAAGCCTCTTTATCTCATAACTGCTGTGAAATTTTTAAAGACATTTTGTCAGCTTGCGGCAGTATAGAGGCCTGTCCTAAACATTTTGTCTCCTGCATCAATAAAGCCTGTTTTTCAATATTATTATACCCGTGGTATAGTGGTTAGGCTATTGGGCTCGCAGTAGAAAGGTAATGAGTTCGTACTTTCTTGACCTGCGAGGGACCAGACGCTGTGTCCTTGAGAAAGGCACTTTGCTACCTTGGAATTACAAAGTTCTATCTGATATTTTGGGTCGTTTTAGGTTTATTAGACCATGGGGTCAGAAATAAAAAAATATATCAGCTCTAGCAAAATTGTAGTTTTATTCGGAGTTATTATCAAAGATATTCAAAGAATTGCTTTCTAAAAAGTGTGACCTGTGAAACTCGAAAATAAAGTTTTTTTTACATCAAATTTCTCAAAACTAGACATTGAGCAGATAAAACTTTGTATTTTTGAGGTAGCGACTTTACACATATTTTTCTCATTCCACCCAGGTTGGTTGGAGGGGGGGGGGGTGAGTACTCTGCTGTCATCATCCATGCCTTCTACCCCTGGCAGGGTATAGACCACACACAGGCTCCTTCAATTTATCTCTGTCCTGGGCGTCCTTCCTAGCTCGTTCCAAGTGAGCTTCATCTCTCTCGTGTCTCTTTCCACACTTCTCCTCTATGTTTCACTTTGCCTACCCTTGCCTCGTGCTCCCTGTGGGTTCGGCTATAGACTGCGAAATAACGTGTTAGTTTGTTAGCGACTGAGCGCTTAAAATGCTGTTAACACAGTATGCTTCCCGAGAAGCCTAGAATAGAATATTTCAGAGTGTTCTTTGGTCAACTAATACATGTAGATCTAGTTGTAAAGCACATAACATGACGTAGAGCGTGGTTATGCTCCAATTGGACTGTAATTATTGTGACTAACCTCATTACAATAATTATAATCATAATTTAGTAGTAGTAGTAGTAGTAGTAGTAGTAGTAGTAGTAGTAGTAGTAGTAGTAGTTGTTGTAGTCGTCGTCGTCGTCGTAGTAGTAGTAGTAGTGGTAGTAGTAGTGGTAGTAGTAGTAGTAGTAGTAGTAGTAGTAGTATCAATGATAGCTCTTCTCATTGAAGGACGCCGTTCTCCTCTACATTGATCACGTGACTTGTTATGAGACATCGTCTGTCTCCGTCCGCCTTGGTTGGGGGCTGTGGACTACCTGTCGTCTGAAACGCAAAGTGTTGACTGATGGCGAAACTAGGGGGCTTTGGGGACGTCCTGGTTTTTGTTGCTGTTGTTGTTGTTGCTGCTGCTGTTGTTGTTGCTGTTGTGATGGTTGTGATGACGTCAGGAGAACATTGCTGATACAATAAAGACGTTGCAACACCCGCAGGTGACGTCATTAGGGTATGCTCTGGTGATCTCTTGTTGTCGGTTTCACTTTCAAACGAAATCCTGTTAGTGTACAGATCTAACGGTTTGTCTGTACTATCAGAAATCCTCGCGACTCCACAAAGTTTTGTATTAACAAAGTTTAGGTTATTTTGCGTTGTCATTGTGTCGTGCTGAAGGCCAATTTCTGTTATGTTTATACCCCCCACATTGTGTGGTTTGATGGGAGGGCTTTCTGGACATGGAACTTGCTGTTGCTTTAGTCCTGTAAAGTATAGAGGTTCTTCTTCTTCCCTATAGCGTGCTCTTTTCAGCTGGTAGTTGGATGTTGCTTCGTTGTCCGGGCACGACTGGGGCTTTCTGGGAAATGAACACATCCGGGGCTCGTCATGGCTGAGAGCAGGCGGAGGGCTGACTGCTTTGTGGCCGGGGACTTCGGCACAAACACCGCCCCCTGTCGCGTGAAGAGGCGGGAACTGGAACATGTAGGGGGCGGAGCTTTGAAGTAGTTTCAGTCTTTGATGTCGCCGCCACTTAGCTCGTCTGTTCGAGAACCAAACCTGGCGAGAAGTAGGAAACAGGGACATGTAATTGAAACACGCCTTACTCACAACTACCAAAAGTGAACGTCAATGATATATTTTAAATATTTTTTGTTAAGTCCTTTTACGCCCTCATCTACATGATTAGATCATTTAGGAGCTGGGCTTCGAACTTGTCTGTAAGGGCCAACCTGGACTGAGAAGAATAATACAATACACCACAAAAGGACGGAGATACTTGATGAATACTAATCCCTCACGGGAATCGAACTTGGGTATTCTGAGTGCGACAGTGAAGAACCTTATCCCTACTCAAAAGACGTCGATGACGACACCAACAGTACTTATTATATAGAAAAGGATTGAGGAAACAAGGTAGGGGGTGGGAGAAAGGGGATGAAATGTGTGTGTGTGTGGGTGTGTATGTGTGTGTGTGTGTGTGTGTGGTTGGGGGGGGGAGCGGGAGGAGGAAGATGGATGAAGAAAAGGGCTAAAAAACATCAGCAACAACGACAACAACGACAACAACGACGACGACGACTACAGCCTTAACAACAGCTACAATGAGGTGATGTCAACATAACACAATGAACAATGATAAAGGAAAGAAAGAACAAAACAGAAATATTTTTGCTTACAAGGAATACTCAAGAACAGAACAACTAACAACAGAGAAAATGACAACACCCACAACAACAGGTTATCTGTCTATCTATCTGTCTGTCTATCTATCTATCTATCTATCTCTCTCTCTCTATCTATCTCACCTGCACCCTGGCCTCGGATAAGCCTGTCCTGCCTGCCAAAGCCTCTCTGGTCGCAACGCCAGGGTAGTGAGTCCTCTGTGGAAGATAGCACATTGTTATTGTGTTTAGCGGATAGACTCTCAGACTCGCATCCGTAAGGTCGTGGATTCGAATCCCGTAAGGGATCCGACGTTGCGTTACAGGGAAAGGCACTTTCCACGAGTTCTCCTCACTTCACCAGGTTTCGAGTCGGTACCTATCTATAAACCGTGAAAGATCTTGTCTGTTTGTTGGTGTTTGGGCGCTTTATCAGGTGTTTGTAATGTATTCTTCCCGTGAAGCTGAGAATGTTTCTGAGTAACATAAAGTAAAACGCATAGAGCATGCTTTTTAGCGGGTGCACTGTACAAATGCATTTGTTATTTTTTCTAAATTTATTGTTGTTATTGTTGTTATTACTGTTATTATTGTTATTATTATCATTATTATTATTACTATTATTATTATTATTATTATTATTATTATTATTATTATTATCATTGTTATTGTTATTATCATTATTATTATTAATAATATTTATTATTATTATTATTATTATTATTATTATTATTATTATTATTATTATTATTATTATTATTATTATTATTATTATTATTATTATTACTTTGAGACACTTGTCGGCCAATTATTACACGACTCTTCGCTAACATCGAGACAAAAGAGGTCAATGGTGGATTGGGGGGGGGGGGGTGCTTTTGAATGTTTTGCTCCTTCATTCCCACCAAACATATACCGTCCTGATCTCTTCTCTTTTTTTAGTCACCCTCCAGTAACACCGCTAATCTTCATCACTAAAATCACCTATTTGTATTTCAAATACCGTTTGAAATTTAACGAGAGCAATTTTTAAGAAAGTTAAATTCTGTATTCACCTGTGTGTGTGTTTTACCATTCCTGTAGAGCCAAGAAAAAATTCCCACTGGACATCTCTTCTTCTCATCTCATCTCTCTCTCTCTCTCTCTCTCTCTCTCTCTCTCTCTCTCTCTCTCTCTCTCTCTCTCTCTCTCTCTCTCTCTCAACTCGTACAAAGCCCAAAAGGTAGGTCATGTATTGCCCCTCTCCACTCACCGAGAACTCTTGCTCCAGTATCTCTAGCTGACCGGAGGAGAAGGTTGTCCTATTTCTTCTCAACTTCTGCAAACCTTCCCTGTCGATGACGTCAGGGCTCACCACTGGTGACGCTGACACAGGTTTGGAGTCTGAACAAAGCGTAGATTATCAGTTACATACTTTCACACACTGCGATTTTGAAATTTTTCTTTTAACGACATTCTTCCAACAAATTGAAATATTTTATTAGGAACCTTTGTTATAATACTCCGAAATCGTTTTCAGAATGCGTTTCTCTTTGAGTATTCTCTTTTACTGTTTTTTTTTTTTTTTTTGAATACCAGTTAACCATCGACAGGATTTAATTTTCGAAAGCGAGTTGGGATATATACCCCTACCACCCCTCTCTCTTCGACACGAGATATACAACAAACAACTTAGCTACACCCTGAAAACCCCTATTCGGCTACACCCTGAAAACCCCTATTCGGCTCAAAATAATTTTTTTAACTTCCTCAGCCTCTCCTACAACTATTTCATGGCATAGGAACCCCCCAAAACCGCATTTCTTCCCATACCGGGTATGTTCTTCATAAAGTTAATATTTTATTTTTCTTTATCGGCCCTTTTTTCAAAACGCGACTTGTCTCTCTACTTTTTAAAATAACTCCATTTTTCATCAAATCTTCATGAAATTTTCACATAATGTAGAGAAGATGTAATACAAAAAAATATATCTGTTGAATTTTTTTTATGTATGAAATATATTTTTGTTGGTAGTGTCTGGAGTGTGGATTTCCTCTTATTTTTTGCAAACTTGAATGCTACTGAAACGCATTAAAAATGTTCTTGTTTGTTTAGAAAAAAAACAGCAGACACATTTTTAGATCTAATGTTTGTTTAAAAATGCATGCAAAAAAAGAAAAACCCAATCAATTTCAATGAGCAATAAGCGCGGTGTTCATTACGTAAGACATGTCAACAAAATCCAACATGGCCGCCCTATCCATGGAAACAAAACTTTTTTTCTCAAATTTGCTTGCGTATTGTAAGACTCCATACAATACTTGTTATATGTGGGAAATTTGGTAAAATTTGGTCTAGTAATAAGCGAGATAGCCTTCAGGTGTAGCCCCCTCCCCCCCCCCCCTTAAAAAACAACCCTTCATAGAAGGAGAAAACAGAATTGTAATATCATTTTTAAAAAGCTTTTCTGTGGATTTTAACTTTGAGATAACTTTATCACATTCGAAAAGCCCCAAATAAGTCTAGTTAGAATTTATTCTAGGACAGGATGGGGGTACAAAGTCGTGGGTAATATCAAACATTATTTTTTAAACATCTCGATAGTTCATCGTCCATATTCGCAGTCGTATTCGTATGTTCAGAATGTTGGTACCTATCAATTGTTGTGTGATGGTGTGACTGTTTGTTTAATGTGTCAGTCTAAATCTGAAGAGTGTTTGAGTGCACGTTCATGTTCATGTATTTTGTTCAGCGCTTAGAGCTGAATTGTACCTGCGTTGACGATAATGAAATAATTTACTTTAGTAGTAGTAGTAGTAGTAGTAGTAGTAGTAGTAGTAGTAGTAGTAGTAGTAGTAGTAGTAGTAGTAGTAGTAGTAGTAGTAGTAGTTGTTGTTGTTGTTGTAGTAGTAGTTGTTGTTGTTGTTGTTGTTGTTGTAGTTGTTGCATCATTGTTGTTGTTATCATTGTCATTATTTTTGTTGTTGTTATATTTATTATTGTTATTATCACTATTATTCATCATCATTATCATTACTATTATGATTTTTACTTTTATTATTAGTGTTTCAACAAAAGACAAACAGAACACACCATTGCTAACAGTATCCGCCCCGTCCCGCTCCTCCTCTCCGTCAGAGGAAGATGACGTCACCGATGTGTTGGAGGTCAAAGGTAAGTGGAAGCAGTCAGCGTAGACGGCACTCTGCTGCAGAGGCGGACACACCGCGGATGATGTCTTCAAGTTGGGCGTAGACGCCATAATGGCCGGCGTTGCCAGTTTGATCTGCGCTGGCACTGAGAGCTGGGCTGTTGCAGCACGCACTTGTGGTGGAAGTCCTGGCACAGACGGGTAGCCGGGCCAGTAGGTGTTGTATAGAGGGTGCAGTACTTGAGTTGCCAGTTTGGCGTACTCGTTAGCCGCTCTTTCTGCGGCGCGGTTGCGGAGAATTCTGTTGATGGAGCTTACGCTCGGGACGTTGCTCTGGCCACATACTCCTGTGAGTAAATTGGAAAGGAAGGCATTGAAAACAGCGATTTTTACAGGTAAGGGGAGTATGATACAATAGTCAAAATATTAATTGTCCAAGATGGTCACCCATTCAAAAAAATGTTTAAACCCCAACCAGGACAGGACACATACAGCTGGTTTTGGGGGACACCTGATTAGACATAAAGGTCTCGAACATTTAGCTCTCGCTGACAAAACTGAAGGCAAACGAGGCAGGGGTAGGCTAAGAGTAATCTATACGGAGAACCTAACTAGAATGGTGGGTAAAGGGGAAAGATCAGGATAATATAGCTTTTTTAAGATAGTCCGAGCAAAGAAATGAATAGAGAGCCATGATTGCCGATGTCTGTCGCAGATCTGGCATTTTATTGTGATGATGATGATGATGATGATGATGATGATGATGATGATGATGATGATGATGATAATGATGATGATGATGATGATGATGGTCCCCCTTTGTCGAGGAAAAAACAAAAAGTAGTCGTCTTAGACAGATGGACAACTTTGATAGTGTCATTGTGATATAGAAAAAAAGGAAAGGAGGAAGTGGGAAATGGTCATCTGCACAAGTGATTGTCTTGGACAGGTTGTCGTTTGTGCAAGTTTAAGTCTATTTGTTTTTTGTTTTTTTAAACAAGAAGAGAATAACGGGACATCGCCTTCAGTAATGTTGAATAGAGAAATTGTATAAACCTCTAAAATGAGCTAAAGTGTTTTGATACGAGCGTGAAAGTACTTTCATTTTTTTAATGTTTAAAAAAAAATTAAACATAGTTGAAATCAGCCAAGATGGCCATCCATACAAGGAGAAAATTATTGTTTTAGAAAGTGTTGAATTAGAATGCACAAGATTACATATAAAGGGAAGACCATGCGGAACATGAAGAAGAGTCACAGAAAGTGTTGTGCAGAAAAGAGTGAAGAAAAGGAATAACTATAAGAGGCCAGCTCAGGGTAGGGGAAGGTAGAAAGTGTTCGTTCGTGGCCTATATCCTGATGCAGGGTGGGAAAGACAATCATGGCGTCCTTAAAGAGTTTGTTACCTCAGAATTACAAAGTTCTATCTGCTCAGTACCTAGTTCTTGAGAATTTAAAGTCAAAACTTTTGGGAGTCACAAAAATAATGTTTCAAGCTTTTTTCGAAAGCAATTCTTTGAATATCTTGATAACGACTCCGAATAAACTTACCATTTTGATAAGGCAGATACATCATTTATTCATTTTGTACCTCATGGTCTTAGTTACCCAAAACGGCCAAAAATGTCAGATGAAACGTTGTAGTTCTGAGGTAGCGAGTTAATAAGTCTGTTGTGATCCTACCGTCAGCCAAGAGTCGATCTCGGATCTCCCAGGCAAACATGGTTGGGTTGTCTGCCTTGAGCTGCTCGATTTTGGCCACGACGCTGGGC